AAAGACTAGGGGCGAATCCAGGGAAAGACAAGGGTATTATTAACCAACCTGTTTGAAATTTATTTTTGTTATATCTCAAAGTATTCTTTTATTTCTATGAAATGTACAGATACAGAGAGTGTACATTTGTTACTATTTTTAAGTTTGCAGTATCTGTATCGTTTGATTAACGACTGGAGAGAAGAAGAAGAAGAATAACATATATATCTAAATTTTTCAACCATTTACTATGCACTATTTTCTCAATAAAAGATGTGTATGGGACATTTTCTCATTCATAGGCACACCGCATACGCTCACACACAATAGTTGTTACAGAGTCAAGTAAATTGAGTACAGTTAACATGATCTAGTCAGGTTTCGAGGTTGACAGGCAAAAAAGTGAGAACAGGAATATACTTTTTCTATAAATGTACCCATCTCAATGACTGTCTAATTGATCATAAATAAGTAACTCGTTTCTACATAATAGTCTGTTTGATTTTAAGAAACAGCGCTGAATATGGATGAAACGTTCAATGTGTTTTGTTGAAACACTCCATAAGAAAAAATGAAAAATCATCATTAGCGAAAAATGTGATGATCAAAAATTGTTTTTCCCCTCTATAATTGTCATAGAAAGGAAGAGCATCTGTTGAATAACATGGAAATAATCAATGTCCACAGGCAAGCGAAGCCTCTTAGCATTAAAACTGGTAAAATCATATGTTCAAAGTACTATGAGTGTGAATAATTTGAATGTACTTTTAATGATATATGTACATGTCATGATTAACATTGACATCAAACAATTTATCGACAAGTTTTCAAAAAAAAAGAGTATAAAAAGCTGCCATTGCTTGTATAAATTGTTTCGTGGGTAGATTTTTGGGATACATGCTAGAATGTCCTTTAGAAAATGTCCTTGACGAAATGTCGCCGAGTTTTCATCCTTATAAAATATGTCCTCCAGATTTCGTCATTGAAAAAATGTCTTTCAGAATAAGTGTTCACGGCGAAAATGTCCTTGAGAAATGGTCTTTCCTGTAAAAATGTCCCTCATTCTCAATTGTTGTTTTTTAAATATCATGTCACTCGACACATAGATGACACTGTAATTCAAACATATTTCAACATATTTAAGTTGTTTGTGGGTGTGGGGTGTGAGTGTGAGTGTGAGGTGGGTGAGTGTGGATATAAAATATATCCAAATCCACACCCACACCCCACACTCACACCCACCCACACCCTAACTATAGGTTCAAAAGACGTTTACATAAAACTCATCCCAATATATGGTTGTTCATTGATTCAATTCGAAAAGAAGTGAACACCGTTCATGATTTGATTCTTCAAATAAATAGTGGAAGGCGACCTCGTACCAGAAGATCTCAATCAAGAATTGCTGAACCACGAACTAAAGAATTGTATAATCGGTTCAACAATAACAAAATTACGGCAGAAGAATTATTACAAGGATTTTCTTTTTTTTTTGTGAATGAAAAATAAAATAAAAACTATTCCGTTATAATAAATAAAATTACTTGATTAACATTATAACCGAACGTTATCCATATTTTAGTAAAAGGATATTTTGATAATGGAGAACATTTTTTCCGAGGACCATACCCCTAAGGACCATTTCTAAAGGACATTTTTGCCAAGGATATTTACTCCGGGGAACATTTTTTCAAGGACGAAAATCCGGGGACATTTCATCAAGGACATTTTCTATGGGACATTCTAGACTGTTACCAATTTTTGTTTCCATACGTATACAACAGCATTCAATAAATAATATCAATTTGCGTAATAGATAATAAGAAAGAGTTTCGGAATTTTATCACGAATAACTTTAATAATCTGTTTTCATCCGTTATCTTCAATGAAATATCCTGAGTTCACCTCTGAAAAAGACCTTGGCAAGCATAAACATATAAAAAATATTTCACTCTAAAAAATTAAATTTCAATCCAAACTTAACATCTCGAAATTTGTTTTCACAAGATGATAAAGGTGCTTCTCCATGTTAAAGTACACTTATTATGAGCTGATGCTGAAACTAGAACTGTTTGTGTCCCGAAGACGTCAGCCTAACTCCGAACTCGTCCTTAACATGCAAAAACTACGGCAATATGATGCATTCTAGCAATAGTAGAGTGCTTTGGATGGTTCTTATCAGATGCTGTTTTTCTCTTTACATTTACACCATTTATCTGGTACTGAGTAGTTTCTTTCTTTCTTTCTTTCTTTTTTAATGTGATGCCTATCTGTTATTTGTTACATGTAATAAAATAATTAAAGAATCAACTATAAAAATGTATTTAAACGTTTTGTGTGATAAGTGCAAAAAAATGAAGATGAATCATTATTAATAGTGTCAACAATGATGTTTTCACTTTTTAATCTTACGTTAGTCATATTTCAACTTTGTGATTATTTCCATAGCGATAAAACAAGAGAAGAGAATGAAAGCGAACATTTTTTGGTGATCAACACTGATGAAAATATTATTTACACAAGAGAAAACAATAAAAGCAATGCATAATAATTATCTTTCAGTCGAATTAATTTTTTTTTTAATATTAAGATGACATAACTCAACAAATTGAAGATACTATTATGAGAATGTTAATCCTTGTACTGTTTTAGTACATAGACAATTGAATTAAAAATATGAAAATAACTCTTTTAGCATATATTCATCATCGATCTTATTTCTTACATATATATCTATATGTAGATCTAGTTCATATTGAGATTATATTTATAACATAGAATAAGCTATGCTTTATAAGAATGTTCACTTTTAAATTGTTAAAATCTCATTATGAATCTCGTTAGAATGAAAATAAAATTCGTATAGATAATAAGAGAATAAAAAACTATTTAATCAGTAATTGAAATCGATGATATGAATGAATGGTTTAAGTGAAAACTATTGATTCAAAGATTTGCTTTTCAACAATTGTCAACTATAAAAAAAAACATCAATGCTTTTTTCAAACAATAATTATAATGAATGATTCATCATTGATTATATTATGTCTAAAGCTATATAAGTAACCTTCATTTCGTAATTTTTTTTTTGCTCTAAGTATCGAAATCAATATCTTTCTTTTTAATAATAAAAACTAAAAAATAAAATAATTATCTTATGTTATTAATCTTTGGTGTTCTATCGAAAAAGAAATTCTATTATAAACTATTGATT